AATGAGTATTTGCTGGCATATCAGCCTCCTGTACCTACCTAACCTAACCAACCTTCCCAAACATAGCCTAACAAAACCTAACATAACTAAACCTAACCAATCCAAACCTAGGGTAATATAACCTGTATGCAACAATATATCTTGGATAAGTCGCTCCTCAACATTGTCGCTTGGACCGTCGACTTGCTTTGGCATCACAAGCAGCTTATTTTCGTCTAATTTCGTTATGAAATGATACTTTTTCAGAGTAAAAATATGTTTTTCTATGTTCTACATTCAGCACCAACATTATAATGAGTAAATATATCATATTTATTCATTACTAATGTAATGCCAGTAAGCTTTGGATGACTTTGAGTGGCTTTAGGAAGCTTTGGGTAATTAGACGGACCGCCCAGTGGGGCATTTGGTACCATGAGTTTTGCTCTAATTTTGAATGATTCTCGTGTTCTATGTGAATTGTTTGCAAAATTGTAGGGCAATTTTAAAGCTCATCCAGAAAAAGGCATTTCAATACATTCAGTGCTGGGTTTTTATTAGCAAGATGTCTTACTGGAGCAATCATTATGCTGAATAAATAAATACATACATACATACATACATACATACATACATACATACATACATACATACATACATACATACATACATACATACATACATACATACATACATAGTGGATAAATGACGATTGTATAAATCATGGGCAGGGCAGGTGGTATAATGCCTAAAGCCACTAATAAACAGTGCAGAGAAAATAATTGGAATTTATTTCCACTTGAGTGAAATTTGACAGCAAGCATATGTTGTAGCAAAAGATTGTCATAAATAGGTGGAATACCTGAATTTACATGAGGTTACTAACACTAGTGGCCTCAATGAGAACAGGAAGCTGGCAGTATGTCAAGAGCCCCCCCCCCCTCATTTGCCTTGATGATCTTTTTCCAGTTGGATTTTAAAACTCAACACAGTTTTGCCATTTATGGCTTCGGCGGGCAGGCAGTTCCATGGGTTTATAACACTGTGGGTGAAAAGCATTTCCTGTTCTCAGTCCTGCATTATGGCTTATTGAGCTTGAAACTGTTGCTCCTTGTTTGTGTTATATCTGACCTTTTGAAAAAATGATACGGACCAACATCCTCCAACTTGTTCAGTATTTTAAGATTCAATGAGATTCGTCCTGTCATTCCTGGTTTGCAGTGTTATTAACCCTGTGGCCATCAACCGTTCCCATTACAAGAGATGTCTTTGCTCTAGAATGATTTTTGTCGCCCGATGTTGCACTTCCTCTAGAGCAGCTATGTCCTTCTGAAGATGAGGACTCCATGGATACAGTAATCCAAAAGGGGGCACACCAGAGATTTATACAGTTGAATCACTACCTTCTTTTCCTCAAAGTCAAAGGTATGCCTGATTGTTCCAAGGGTTTGGTTAGCCCTTCTGACTGCTGCTCCTACCTATTGTGCAACTTTGTGAGTGGTGGATTTTGATTCAAAAGTCCTTTTCTTCATCAATCTGCTGTAATATAATGTTATTAATTTGGTAGTTGTGACGTGGGTTGCTATGCCCCACAGGTAAGGTCGGGCATTTGTTGATATTATAAAGCATTTGCCAGTCTTCTGACCATTTGTAGAATTTATGTAGATCTCTTTGCAAAGCTTTAATCATTTTCATTTCCCACTTTGCCATAAATTTTTGTGTCATCTGCAAATTTGATGTGGTATGTAATATTCTTATCCAAGTCACTAATGTATATGACAAAAGGTTGGCCCCAAAATGGACCCCCTTTGGTACCCCCCACTCACCACATTTGTCAGTTATATGACAAAGAGTGCTGAAAAGATAGGACACCACGAACATAGCTCTCATCCTGTAACTACACTTGGGTAATTATCTAACTCATCACATGTTGGCCCATCTGAGGGTCGACATCACATGTCAACATCTGATGTCGACATCTGATGAACATCTGAAGTTACCTCATCACCATTAACCTCCATTAAAGGCAACCCCAATACCATCAACATCCACCACCACCTCTTCCATCTAAATAACAATGCTCCATCAACAATAAGAATCAAGTTAACATGTGGATCAGGATGTCTCCTAGTGGTGAATACAAACAAAATACAGTACTATCGAGTTTTTGCTATAAAACTGTTGATTTTTTCCACTAGATTTTCAGGATGACAAACCCCTTTTACAGATGCAACAAATTATCCAGACAGTCTCGGTCCCAAGGAGTCTAGAAAGCCTGTGGCCTTCAGTACTTCTGTATTCCTTCTGATAGATAGTTTGTGTAGACAACGAACATTACTGGTGCAAGGACTGAACTCTGTGATTCTCCACTAGTAATATTTCTCCAGTCAGATACATTCTCTCTGATTACTGCCCTCATTTCTCTGTCAGAAAACTTTTCATCAATGTCAGAAGTTTTCCTGTTACTCCTCCAGTATGTTCCAGTTTCCAGAACAACTTCTTATATGGGACTATGTCAAAAGTCTTTTATAAGCCCAGATGAAAGCAGTCAACCCAACCATCTCTTTCTTATAAAATCTCTGTGGCTCTGTCAATGAAATTAAGTAGATTTGTTACATAGGATCTTCCTGATTGAAAAACATACTATTGTTCTGTCACATCATTTCTCTCCGGGTGTTTAACCCATTTGGTTTTAATTATTTTTTCTAATGACTAAATTTTCTAATTTTGACTATTATGCTTGTCAACAATGCAGGTCTATAATTAAGAACAAAATCCCTTTTGGAACGAATTGGTCTTACCTCATATAGTTCATTCAACTAAGGATGCACTGTATGTTACTATGATACAGGTATTTAATTTAAAACTGTACAAATGAAATTTTAATTAAAAATTTTGTCTTGATTTATAATAAAATTAGACAAAAGTGGGTGGCACACGATATCAAAGGGATGGTACCCTGGTGGCTCATTTGGAAGCCACTAGGCTCATTTCTGTAGCTAACAAACTCTGCAGTGGTGGATCGTCATCACCCCTCAACCAACAACAACAACTCTGTGGTGATCTATTTGATGCCACATTAAATCCGGAAAGGATTTGAGGTGCATAAATGCAATTTCTGTCTACATTTTGAGCAGGATTGAGTATTCTTCGGTGTCTTCCAGACACCAATATGATCTGATGGGGAGAGTTTGAATGTTCACTGCTGCATTGGTGTCAAATATTGATCTGCCTAGACTGCTTCAGATCCTACTCATGAAAAAGTCGGACCTTGCTTTAGGGAGGATCAAAGTGGGATAGCATTGAAATAAAAGCTTGGATAGCTTCCTTTGCCATATGGCAAATACTAAGAATAATAATTAAGGGAGAAATGGTGCAGTAAGTATTTTAATTTAAGATGCCATTTGTATACATCTTAATTATTGAATAAATTCATAATCCTGTAGATTAAGCATTTTTGCATTACTTTACTGCATTTTGTTTATTTAAAATTACTCCTATGACCTATGGGGCAAAATATTTTGTTACCTTAGTGCAGTACAAAGAAGGAAGCTCTTTGTGTATTAGACACTGCTGTCGCATACATAGCCTACTGGAAGAATCATGCAGTATTTAAATAGTTAGATTTCAAAAGATGCTAGACTAGAAAACAAACAACTGGTGTTCTGGTGATTGTTTATAAGCAACGCATAAGTAAACTTCCAATAACGTGCATGATAACTACATTCTGGTCCCATCAGCTGATTAATCTTGGTCTACCCTGCATGTTTATATGCACAAGACTATTCTCCCTTTCTGTAGCTTTATTGGTATTTTGGATAATATGTTACTGCTTTATTTGGCATGGCTTCTGAATATATTTTGTGACTATACAATTGTGTTATATATATATTGTCAAATACTGTGTATCTACTGTATCTTCATATGTGTTTTTGTTTTCCTCAGTTAATTGACCCATGAAGCACTGAGCAGTTCAATTGAGTTACACGTCAACTGTCGTTACATATATTTTAAGTTTCTAAAAGCAGCTCCCAACTATGTCAAGCATTTCTTCAGCATTCTTTTGAGTTGTTGTATAATACCCATTGACTCTTCCTTTTCCAAAACTTTCCCTGAATGTCAGGCATGCTATACAGTGATGTCTTGGTTACCTGGATCAGTTGGTTCTGGGGCCTTCCATTGGAGAGTTCTGTTGTAGTGACACATTTCCTCTTTTTACTTGTTTGCACCATGAGCCTTTATTAAGACAAATGATAGAATATATATATTTGTACATATTTTTATAGCAAAATCACTTGGAAAATGGCTGTTTTAAATAGAAAAACCTAGATTTTTTTTGTTTGTATTTTGATTGGCAATACAAATACTAATTATGCAAATAGCTAATTCAGATGCAGACAATGAGTCACAATAATGTGGCTGAAGGAACCACTCGTCAGAAGATGGAGAAACGTTGAAGTTTTGGTCCGTCCTGGACCAATATAAAGTCGTGTGTTGCATTTGTTAATGATTCAGGATGGATCAAAATGTCGTTGTTTCTTCATCTTCTGATGTGTGGTTCAGTCAGCTAATTCAGATAATTGAGGTATTAGTATTCATTTTTAGATCATAACCTTGCCATTTGATTCAGACGAATGTTGAACCAAGTTCTTGTTCGAATGAGACACCACTGTACCTTCTCCAGCATTTACTCTATACCTGTATATCTACAGCATTACCTTAATTGTATTACTACATCCTAGAACTCAGAGTCACCCCTATTATGAAATCATTTAAATAACTCCAGTTTTTCTTGGGCATCAGTATGCAGTATTTCTTAATATCATTTCCTCCTAATTTAAGTTTGATATTTGTTTGTGAATTATTTGGTATTTACTCTAGGCTATACAAATTTTACATGCCCAGCATCTTTACTAGCCCTTCGACCTATTTTTATATCCTTCCTAAGCCAGCCGTAAAAGGGCACACAAGCTTGGCAGCTTCCAGACTATCTGCCAATAATCTTACTATACCGCACACAGGACTTGATCTCGACAACGGAATAGACTCCAATCTGGGTGATGACTCCGATTCCTTGGGCAACTCCAAGGGAAAAACCTCCATCACTACACCACCAGCAAAAGAAAAACGGAAACCGTTCTTTAAGAAACAGGAGAACATCCCTCCCTACGATGTTGTGCCTTCCATGCGCCCGCTAGTGCTTGTCGGCCCATCCCTTAAAGGGTACGAGGTGACAGACATGATGCAAAAGGCGCTCTTTGATTATGTTAAGCACAGATTTGAGGGAAAGTAAGTATGAATTACTATACCTTGAAATTACACTTAGTTTCTCACCATGTAAATTTTTTATTATTTTTTGTTTCAGGAATGCTGAATTCTTACTTCAGTCATGAACATTACTGTACAGTCAGCCTTTGCTATTTATGATGGATGTATTTTAGGAAACCTTTGTGAATGGGAATTTGTAGAAATCAAACATAAGGTTTTAGTTCCCCACACATTACCAGACAAGGGCTAAACAAACATGTCAAAGAAGTGTCTTTAACCCTTAACCCCTGCTCTGCACACTTGTTTCATGTGACAGATTCATGGTGCAGACGTTAATGAATTATTAACATTGACTTAAATTATTTAAATACATAAAAAATGTCAAAATATTGCCAGACTCAACAATTTTCATTTCAAATCAGAGTGAAAAACATTAACCCCCCCCCCCCTTGGCTGCACATCCCATCATATAATGGGGTAGCTAAATATGTTCAAACTGTGCATCCCATCATAAGAAGTACTATATTAGGGAATTGCATAAGATTTAAATCTTGCACATACATTGGGTTCACAGATGCTTCCTCAGGCTTCCAGTAATAATCCCCCCTATTTTGAAAAAAAAATCCAGAATTCCTCACTTTCCTTCAAGTGCCCATGTAAAAGAATGAGGACCATATCTGGCCACATCACCATCCAGTGTGTGAATGTGCAGGGCTGCCATACCAGCATCCACTGAACTTTAATAACAGCAAATGAGTGATTACCACTACATCTTTCAGGCACAATGTGTGCCATGTTCAGTTATAAGATTTAGGAAAATAAATAAATAAAAAAAACAAAAAATATATACTGTATATATATAATATGAGGGAGAGGGGGGAGGGAGTCCGTAAGTTCGCGCGTGACGTCATCAATCCCCGGTCGCCCAGGGCGTACGCTCCAGGGGCCAGTAAAGCGTCCAGCTCAAAATGCGCGAGTTGCTGCGAATATATTTTTGTTCATTTTTTGCGCACAGTTCCAAATACATTTTATTTGTTTTTTCGTGTCAATCCTATGTACAGTATAATGAACACGTACACTATATTATGGCAATAGAACATCTGTACTGTCCAAAAACACTGTGTTACATGCATGACATGTGTACACATATCCTGCACATATTTCCAATGTATCATGCTAATTTATGTATATATACAATCTATTTACACACCGTATAGTATCACACACTATATACACACATCATCAACACACTCAGAACTCCGCATGTGTGAGCTGCCACACCCAGCCAGTCCTCCCTCACTCCTCCAACATCTTACTCGCCATCACTCCTCCTTCCACCATACTGTTATTCACACCAATGTTTCATGTTCATTTATTTATATTTACAACATATTTATACACTATACACTCACACACTATATACATTCACCATCAACCCACTCAGAACTCCGAGAGTGTGAGCTGCCACACCCAGTCTGTCCTTCCTCACTCCTCCAACATCTTACCCGCCAACATGCCCTCCTCCCACCATACTGTTATTGTTTTTATTACACTATTTACACATTATGTATACCTATCTATATATTTTATTCACCATAATTATACAACTAAGCTGGTATTGTGTCCAAACAGTACAGTGGCTACCATACACTGCATGACAAGTCACACAGTAGACAACGACGCTATGAGTACAACGCCAACTCCCTCACCAAAATGGCTCCTCCCAACATACTCCTGTTGCTGTTATTACGCTATATACACATATTGTATATACCCATGTACATATGTGTTTGCCTTAGCAAACCACTAAGCTAGTATGGTGAGAAAAACAAGAGTGGCTGCCACACAGTGAGGTTACCTTGATCCCCTCCCTCACCAAAATTCCTACTCCCACAATACTACGCACAGCGCTAATTATCACCACAATCCTGCTATAATTACAATCCTGGTCACTAAATCCTGTAAATGAATAATTGACCAAGTTTATTTTGTAAAGGAACATAAGAAGTCGTTTGAAGATTCTTAGATGGACGAAATAAAGTTGTGATGCTGTGGCTAGCACTGTGAACATCGTGAACAGCTTTGATTCACTGATATTTGATCATTGTACACACTCATTATCACACTCAAGCTCTTCTGTAATACTATCATGGCTAAATAATACCGGTTACATGCATATTTTGATATTATTAGGTGATGCTGTGGTCACAAGCTGAACAGGAGTGCTGAGAGCTCATGCTGCATGCGCCAGCCTTGGTTGCTCACTCAGTACTGAGGCTCTCACACCCAGGAATGTTGCCCACGATTTTTTGTTAAAATGGCGTCTGTTTACAAGAGCCTTGAGAAAGCTGATGTGAACTCCATGTAGCCGTGGGAGTTTTGAATCATACACTAAAAATCTAAGATCGCGGAGGCGAGTTGCGCACCCTCCATCGAGCGCCTGCAGGTGCGTTGCGCAGTTCAGTGGTTAAGCTTGCCAAAAAAACTAATGCAATGGGTCACCAGGTGTTGTCGATAAATTGATACAGTACTGCTTCTATAGCAGTGTTGGAGGCATCCATTGAGAGATTGGCGCATCGAACACTGGATGTGTGAGAAGTGTGAGTTGAGCTAGCTTCTGCTTAAGAATGGTGAATGCTACCTCGGTCTCTGGTGACCATGGCAGGGGTACCTTGAATGCCTGCTTATGCCCACAGAGGGGGGGGTTTATAAAGGTTTCAGAATATCAGAACAGTGTGGGATAAACCTATGATAAAAATTAACCACACCTAGAAATTCTTGAAGCTTCTTAGTTGTGGTGGATTGCAGAAACTCTCAGATAGTCTCGAATTCATCCAAAAGGTGCTGCAGGTCAGGAGAGGTATTCAGAGCAAAGCTGGTGAGTAGCCTTTGATCGTTACTCATCCACTGGTGCCCACGACCAATATAATACGTGTTACTAGATATCAACACCATATTTTTGAACATAGCAATGTTCCACACATTTAACTGTGTAAATTCCTAAAATTACATATTATTAAATAATATTACTGCAAAAACTAGATATAAAGCTATTCAAAGACATTGAAATAATCATATAAAAATCTATTTGTGGCAGCCCCTCTACACTGCTTGGCTGGAGCACACTGCCGCCAGCGTGTACCCTGTCAGCGCCTAAACATTTCCAGTCTTTCTCGTCCCATCCTGGTCAGAGTACAGGGGTACCTTGGTTTAAGAATTTAATCTGTTCCTGGAGACGGTTCGTAACCTGAAAATTCGTAAACCGAAGCGAATTTCCCCATAAGAAATAATGGGAAATGAGTTAATCCGTTCCTGACTCCCCAAAAACTTCACTTCAAAGTAAATTTTATACCTAATTCACCCAAATATTCACTACAAAAGTATATTCAAGTTATTACTTACCCTTGTTGATGACTCCTGTTGGCATATGGGAGATGGTGAGGAAGGGGGAGGAGGAGAGGTGTTACTGTTTGGAAGGGGAGTCCCCTTCCATTATAACATCAGGCAGTAAAGATTTCTCTGGAGTGCACACTCTCGCACGTTTTGCCTACATACCATTAGGTCCTGGTTGTGGCTCACTGCTTGATTTTCTCACAAGGAAATGTTTCATTGAAGATTGTTTTTCCCCTTCTTTGCAACACTTGTCTGTAAGTAATTATCAAAAGAAGGCACCAAACCGGGAAGGCTACGTAGCACCATGAAATGCGCGAAATAATCAGAGGGCGCTAAACATCACCAAGGATGCCAATATGAGAACAGAAACACATAAGGCGAACGATATCAAAAGTATCTGATTCACCAAGAATTCTATCGAGGGACAAGTGACCGTGAGGGACGGTCGGAAAGCAAGACACACGCTCGTCCTGGAAGTCAGGACATTCAACAAGGATATGCACGACTGTAAGAGGGACAATGCAATTTGGACAATAAGGAACAGGGTGGCGCTCCATTAGGTGACTATGAGTTAAGCGAGTATGGCCAATACGCAACCTTGCTAGAATCGTTTTCCACCGACAGTTACGGTGGCAGGAAGAAGGCCATGGGGACACACTACACTTGAGAGTACACAGCTTGTTACCAAATACAGAAGACCAACAACCCTGCCAATGGGCAAGGATGGAGGAATGAATAACTGGGTAAAAGTCGGAAGAAGGAATACCTTTACAGGAGATGGGACAAGAGCGGATAGCTTCTCTAGCGGCAGTATCTGCATGCTCATTTAAAGAAACACCAATATGGCTGCGAACCCAGCAAAATTCCACGGATTTAAATTTACTAGAGATAAGAAGCGACCAATGTCGAATCTCGACAACCACTAGATGGACAGGATTAAAGGACCCTAGAGCCATGAGGGCACTACGAGAGTCAACGACAACCACAAAGGAGAATTGACAATGAGAAAGCAGGAGACGTAGAGCATTGAGAATAACATAATGTGCTATTCTCTGAAGGGAGGCGACATATACAAGTGCGGTCAGGAAAAACAACAGAGTAGCCTACACCGTTCGCAGACTTAGACCCATCGGTGAAGATGAAATCGAGCGGGAATGGGAAGAAAAGTGCTCAAGGAAAAGGCATTTCAGAACCATAGGAGGGGTAAAAGCTTTAGTGATGCGGGTCAAGGATGTACAAAACTTTGGAAGGGGGACTCTCCACGGGAGCAAGGAAGAAACAATGCGAGGAGAAACATTCGAAACACATTTGAATGTAGTGAGGCATCACATTGTCATTGAAAAGATTAATGCAGCGGCCTACTACAGCTTTCTCTGGGTGAGTCGTTTCAATAAAAGTTTGCATTTTTTCCACATCTTACGCCACCACTTCCTAATTGTTGAGGAAGGGACATTCTCTACTGCCTCATCCTCCTCCTCTGAAGAAGAAATATCCTCAGCTGCCTCTTGTTGCTGCTCCTTTTGAAGAGCTTGGAGTTCTTCGGTGGTCAGTTCTTCGTTGTGTTCTTCCAACAATTCCTCCACATCAGCACTATCCAATTCCAAGCCCATTTTCTGGCCCAGAGTAAC